TATATATATATATATATATATATATATATGAAAAATATATCAAAAATACATGTGGGTATTCAAATGAAAGCTCTTGACGAGAGTAACATCAGGATGAGCTTATATTTTTAATATGAATTTTTTGCTTAAAAATTTCCTTGAGAACGTCTTTAAATTAAAAATTTTTCCAATAAAAAAATTAATCCCATAAAAACAGCCCAAAATATCGGTACATATACATGTCTATAAATATATATAATATAAAATAATAGATATTGATAGAGATGAATAACGAGTGTCAATAATAAATGTCACATTTCCTACTCTGGCTATTGCGTATTGTTGTCACTAATTCGCTACTCGTTGCTCCGTAGAATGACAAAGAAGAGAGTGAGGTTATCGAGCGTATCTCATATGAGGAGTCAATATAATAAATAAGTGGTTAAAAAAAAAAATAATATTGAAAATTAGGGAGGTTTGAGGGGAAGTTTGTCGGACAGATAAAGATAATGTTGTGGTATAGAGAAAATAAAGATTTGAGACACTGAGCCACTTACGTGAAATAAAATAGCGTGGAAATGAGGATAAAATGCCGCACATTAATATGGAAAAAAAGAAAATACATTTTTATAATTCAACAAAAGGTTAGATTAATAGTCTTACTCCTCTAAAAACAGACTGCTGACCACGGACCTGCTAATGGAAGCCCGAGGACTCGGGTTCGAGTCCCGGCGGCTTCTATTTTTTTTTTCTTATCAATGGGTAATATTACAGGTCACTGGAAATTTATTTTCCATTTTTCTATTTAATTTTAGCTCCTTAATTTTAAACCGTATTTAGGAAGAAAAAATTAATTTTATCTTAAAATAATAAATCATTAAATTTTTCCTGAACCGACCTCCCCGTTATAAATTAAGGGAAATTCTGTAAATTTTTAACCCCAGATAATTATAAAAATGGCCCGAGGGTAGTCTTACCAATTCCTCGTCGTTTAGCGTAGCTCTGGGTACTGCAGAAGTTAATCCGGCTGCGTTCCTCTTAGTCGCTGCCATTGTCTACGGAAACAAAACTTGAATTAGTTTTATTATATTTTAATATTTAACAACCGTTTTATTAAGTTCTTCGGTGGTTTTTTCTTCGATCAGTGTGCACACATCCGTATGAAAGGATACTACGTGAGGGTTTCATTTATTAGTGTGCTAATTTTAATTAGTGAGTTTTTAGAATTATTTATATATATTTTTTGTAATTTTTTTTTTATTTACAGTATTTACAGTTATCTGTTTTGTGTCGCAGTCGATTGATTTTTTTATTTAATTACTAAATAAATAAATAAATAAATAATAAGCTATATTTAGTCACTATTTTATTTTTATAGGTCATTTATTTTTAGAGTGATTTTTTAATACATTTTTATGGATGAAAAAAGTCTATAAAAAGGTTTAAAAGATATTTAGTATTCAAATTTTCGCGGGAGTTCTTCAACGCGCGCTTTTGAAGAATTTAACCCGCCATTT